TCTCTCTCTCTCTCTCTCTCTCTCTCTCTCTCTCTGTCTATAACCCCTACCTGCTGCCTCTCAGTGTGTTGTGAGTCTCAAGCCTGAATAACTGGGAAGTGAGGAAAGCTGGGCTAAGCCCCTAGCCTGGGGTACGGACACATGTAACAGCTATATGACACCAATGTAAGCTGCTTTTAGAAACTTGTGTCTTCATGCTTCTGTAGTGATACAAGTGTGACCAAAACCACTGCCATGTTATACCCTGTTTAATTTGCTAGAGAAGTGTGCAGACATAACAGTTAAATAGTAAGAGCTGATGTGCATAACCTTGGACTTACTCTGGTTACAGCTCAGGCCAAGCCAGCCTGCTGGACATGTGCAGCGCCCTGTCACGTGATCACAGTGGGCTCCATTCAGACACGGGCAGGTTTCCCGACACTCAAGTCCATAAAACCCATCGGGGCAGGCTGCAGAAAAAGAAATACCCTGAAAATTTGCATGAATGTCAGTCTGTGCAACATGGTTGGGCAGGTCCCAGGGCAAGGGCCACAGAACACATCAGTCTGCTAGTGCAGTGCTGATTTCTGGGATTTGTAGCATTTTTGGGAGTCATATGTTATGCATGAACTGCCCTAGGAAACAAGATTAGTTTCCTTATATTAATAGGAACCTATGACAGCTAACCCATGTGTATCCTGGAGAATGAAGCACTTCTGACTGGTCTGAGCATGGGACCAGGAGCTTGGGCTGTGGTCCTTCCTCTAACTCCGTGGAGCCAACCTTCCTGGACAGGCATGCCACAAATTAGCTCTGCTGCACCCTCCCCAAGTGCCACTTCACTCCCCTTCCCCTGCCCAATCTACTGTTTGGCTTTCTGCTTCCTTTCCTGTGCTCTCTGCTTGATTTCCTGCTCTGTTTTCTGCTTCTTGCCTTGTCTACTGTTGTGCTGCCTGTCCCCTCCCCAATCTGCTGCATGCCACATGCTGAGGCTGCCCAAGCCACTTGTGGCACTTATGCTGTGGGCTGGCCACCCTTGCTCTGACTGCCTCTCTGCCTGTGGGCAATGTGAGACCTATTAACCCCTTTGGGTTTATCATGACACCAAGACCTGTGCTGCCTCTTTGCACAGGGGGGATTTACCCATTTGTCAGCTGGGAGGAGCCATTCACCTGCTCTGGGCCTCAGTTCTCCCACTGATATACAGCAGATAGCACCTTGTGAAGGGTGAGGCCTCTTGCTTCTGGGGACCCTGGAAGTCCTTGGCAGGAAGCCATCATGTAAACATGAGGGTCTACAATGTTATTATCCTCATTAGCAGAGCTGGGGTGCCGAGGGAATGTTTGTTCTTGTGCATTCAGCTTTATGGTTTGACCCATCTGTACAGCAAACCCTGACTTCAGGGTTCACTGGTAGCATACATTTTGCATTTCCTAAAAACTTCACATACCCTCCTTCCACTTTTCTGCCAGACACAAAGGGATCCAGTTGGCATGGGAACACAGCCAAGTCTAGGGCTTTAGTGGCTTCTTACCTCTGGCTGAGAAACAGGCTCATCTTTTGCCTCCCAGAACTGTGTGACTGCTGGCAGGCTCAGCACAAAAAGGCACTCGCTTCCTTCCCCTATGGTGTCTGCCATAAATCTACAGCCGAGGCAGCAGCTGGCACCTGGCATCCCTGCCGTAAGGATAGCAGGGCATTCTCACATGGTTTTCACTCAAGAGGGTCTCATGCAATACCAGCTGTCAAACTCAAGCTTAGAGGCTGGCAGTAAAATCTTACACTGAACTGAAAACTCCTTGTGTCTCACTCAGCTCAGGAATGAATGTGTTTATATGAGTGTTTCTCAAGCAAACCAAGGGTTCTTACCATGCTCACAAAAGGTGCCTCTCCAGCCAGGGCTGCATGTACATGCCCCACTGACATGGTCACACATGGCTCCATTGTCGCACTGACAGCGGTGTCGACAGTTCAACCCAAACCATCCTTCAGGACACTCTAGGAAATATAAAACAACCAGAGTTGGCCAGTGCCCTTCCCATCACAGCTATTAAACCATTGGCTCCAGCCTTGGCAAAGTGACTGTACATGGAAGTTGCCTACT